GATGGAATGACCTCTCCCGTTTCATCAGAGGAACAGCAACTCTTTGAAAAAGATCATCAATTGGAAAGCACAGCAAGTAAAGAAGACGTCGCTGCATTGGACCAAAAGACCAATGATTTGAAATTACCGCTTGTTCCAGACGAGCCAGGTAACAATTTAGTTCTATCTTTTTAGAGTCATAGTTTTAATGCATGCAAGTTAATATATAAAAGATCGTATACTTGAAATGCGTAGAAAGATATATAATGACTAATATCATCTTTCGTATATTCCCTTACATTCACGTGACCAGGAAAAAAGTGTACATCAGATACCAATATATTTGTTTGTTGGTACCAATACGATGACGTGCTTAAAGACCAAAACAAAAAAGTGTTAACTTCCTGTAGGTCGGGTGGCTGAGAGAGCGTCTGGGTAGGGTGGCAACTGGTCCCTCAAGAACCCAAAGAAATAGCCCTTTTCACGGTTACCTTTGCTCATTTGCATTACAATAAAATCTAGCATGTGTGTGAGGCAATTTCGGGCTATTTTGTAGTTTTAGCCCAAAATTGCCTCGCATCTATGTTGGATTACATTGTAATGCAAATGAGAAAAATGAACCGTGAAAAGGGCTATTGCCTCTTTCCAACGTTTNCACCCTCTTTCCAAACCATGCTTGCTTTCCTGAATAAAACAAACAAAGAGCCCTTATCCTCAGCCACCTTCTTTCCCTCCCTTTTGGAGTTTGTTAGTCACCTTGGGGCCCTTGAAATTTAGATGATGGTTAGGGATATATAAACTGTCAATGTTTATCTCTTGAATTATATCATTGCTGCACAGATCTTGTAAATGGCAACCAAGAAAAGAAAGTTTCAGGAGGTGGAAGGGATGGAATGACCTCTCCCGTTTCATCAGAGGAACAGCAGCTCTTTGAAAAAGATCATCAATTGGAAAGCACAGCAAATAAAGACAACGTTGCTGCATTGGACCAAGAGACCACTGCAGGTAACAATTTAGTTCTATCATTATAGAGTCACAGTTTTAATGCATGCAAGTTAATATAAGAAAGATCGTATGCTTGAAATGCGTAGAAAGATATATAATGACTAATATCATTGGTATATTCTCTTACATTCACTTGACCAGGAAAAAAGTGTACATCAGATACCAATATATTTTTCTGTTGGTACCAATATGATGACGTGCTTAAAGACCAAAGCAAAAAAGTGTTAACTTCCTGTAGGCCGGGTGGCTGAGAGAGCGTCAGGGAGGGTGGCAAGTGGCCCTTCAAGAATCCGAAGAAATAGCCCTTTTCACGGTTACCTTTGCTCATTTGCATTACAATAAAATCTAGCATGTATGTGAGGCAAGTTTGGGCTATTGTAGTTTTAGCCCGGAATTGCCTTGCATTCACGTTGGATTACATTGTAATGCAAATGAGAAAAATGAACCGTGAAAAGGGCTATTGCCTCTTTCCAACGTTT